CGACAAGTCTTACGTATCTGTAAATAGTTAGTTAGGGAGTGCTCTCCACTTAAAAGCAATTCTAGACAATAATTTTCATTTGTTTTTATTTTATATATCATTTCATCTTTGATTTGTTCAAATGTATCGCAGTTTTCATACAAAATATTTAATACCATTATTATTATTATAACTATTATTATATTATATATTAATTTCAAGATTCTTTACACACATGCAATCAAACGGTTGACTATTTCGCTGATGAATATAAGAGAATATTACTAATTATGCGATTATAATGCATACGTCTTCAGGTGCTTCACATATTCACTGAAACGTGTTTAATATATTCACACCTTTTCTATTGTCTGATCTAAAAATGATACGTTTTTGCAATTTATAGTCTAAATATTTTATTATTTGTCTTAAACAATAAAACAGATATTTGTTTTCTAGTGTTTTTTCACAATTACTGTAACTGTAAGTGAATTTATGTATTGATCAAAAGTTTCGTATAAAAAATATATATTGACTTGTTTGCGCTAATCGTGTCCTTAATTGCACACACATTTGCTTGAATAAAGCGCCCGGAGCTTACCAACGGACTGATCACCGACAGTTTTCTCAAGACAGTAATCTGTCCCAGGTAATTGTCAGGTGTCGACTATTCAAATTGTTTATTGATCAAGTACTGTATGGTTTCTATTTCCAAACGGATTATCATTTATTTATGAAAATCGTGTCCACAATACGTGTTCACAATTGTCGGACACGAGCACAAGTGTCCCAATTATGGTGTTGGAGGGATGTGTCACGTATTGGAAGAAAGCCTTACTTTTTTAAATTAGTATTTCTATTGTTTTAGTTATAATTTGTAATCATTATTGTGATTCAGTTTCTCCTAAACTGAACCTATATTTTATGTTACCTTAAAGTTTGCGATCAGAGTTTGCGGCACTCGATTACTAATTGTGGATGAACTACCTGAGCGATGTGGGTGCCGGTGGGGCCACAGTATTCCTGCGTCTCAATGTGACCGTATGGCCCACACAATACTCGGCAGTGTTTTGGCACTATTTTGGCATCATTTCGATCAATCAGGCGAACTCGATGGACAGACACTGCACAGCGGGTGTCCTGTACTCGTGGGTCATAAATGGATTGCCGGCAAATGGATCCAATCGATGGGACAGGAGTTCCGCAAACCATACACGATCGACAATCATGTCATTCCCTATTAATCACTGAAATGAGTATTAAAAGTATGATTAACTATCACTATCTAAGAGACACCTTATAGGGACAGTTGGCTATTAGCACAAATGTGTATGTCTCTGGAAAACTCATAGTCTATTGTATTTGTGACTTTCTGAGCAGATTAATAGTAATAGTCATTAGAATAGCATTAAATAACTTTAGAAATCGAGTAATAAATGACTAATAATTAAAGAATAATTAAATTAACAGTAGAGTAGGTCTGAGATTAGGAGATAAAATGTGGTAATCGTTGGCTAATCTCCATATTTTTCAACAAATGTTTCGATAATTACTTTAAGCAAAGACTGATAATTTTTAAAATTTAATTCTATATTCAAATAATAATAAGAATTTTAAAAAATTTATAAAAACTTTTGGTAAAACTATTGCTAAAACTTGTATCAAATACACGAAAATGCAGTAAATATGCGAAAATAATCATTAGATTCTCAATTATTGCTTCACTGCTTATCACTAATGTTATGCAGAAAAGTATTATTTGAAAACATTTATAGGATTCGTTGAGTGAAAGTATTTTTCTTATTTTCCATAAATATTATTTGATTAAAGAATTAAATATTATAAATATATAGCATTTTATAGTTATCTTTAATATTATTTTAGGCAAAAATGATGATCATTGTGGCCGGACTCTTTTTTGTTAGCTGGCTACTGCATCAAACCTACCCCGGTCTTAATTATATATATCCAGAAATTAGAAAGTAAATAATTGCATACAAATAAATATATTTAAAAATTTCTTATTTTAGGAGAGATTTAATTTAGAGTTAAGACAACTGTTTGGTTGGGGGTCGGCGTCACGGGAATGACATAGAGATGGATAATATATGGTGTTTTAGTTCGCAGACAATGTTTCGAGTCTTAAGGCTTTCAAATCGGATTTTATATAAATTCTTTCAATTAATTTAATGTATATTAGTCTTAAGGCATTGGAAAAACCATATGAATTGGTTATAACATTACAATCGAAGTGTTTGTAAATATAATAACTTGTTTTGTTGCTTTATTTTTAGGCAAATCCTATCCCATCTCCGGTAAGACAGCGGTTCTCACCATCTTTTAGACGACTTTTCATTTCACTCTTGAGTTCTAGTTTTAAGTGTTGTATTGATTGATGTATTCATTGAATGACTGGTGTGTCTGACAGGAGTCGGAGTCGGAAAGGCGTTGCACTTCGGCCTCAAATGCCGGCGAATCTGAATACGAGAGCGCAGACGACGAGGAGGCGAAGGGTAACGACCAGTCCTTTGAGGACACGGTCTCTGAGCCCCAGAACCTGTCGCCGCCGTCCGCAGAGACCGCTGAAGCCATTGACGCCAAAGAGGAGATGAGTGTCGAGACGAGTGTTGAATGTGTCGTCGAAAGTGAATCAAAAACTTGTGCCCAAATTGACGACAAAGAAGTCACAAACGAATCCAATTCAGAGATAATCACTGAAACGTGTAATTCTCAGACCACTGACAATGTCTGCGAAAATGAGTCAAAAATTAATGATTTGCCAAATGATGAGAAAACTGAGTCAAAAGTATCTGAAGAGTTGAGTGAAGTCTCGCAAAGAGATGGCATTGAATTGAATGACAATAAAAGTGATGAGAATAGAGTCGACGTCGACATGTCGTCGGATAAAGAAAATGACGACAAATCAGAAACAAATGAAAATGATTTGAACGACGAGTTGGCCGATGAAGAAGGCGGTCGCGAAGAGATCGCTGACGACATGGACAATGAATACGAGGACATGGATGAGTCGGACGAGTGTTCTGTTGAGTCGGATAACGACGGCGTGAATAAAGAGAATGAAGAGGAGAACTCGGACCGAGAGCGACAACAAGGAGATGGAGAGGTATGTCGTGGATTGACAGCTCATAGACTTGTTTTCTAACTGAAGGACTAATTAATGATTTTTTGTGCGCAACAGGAGAGCAATGACTCGCAATCGGCCCAAAAGGACAAGAACTTAGACCAAGACGAGGATAAACGCAACCCTCAGTACATCCCAAAGAGGGGTCCATTCTATGAACACGACGACCGCAATGAAATGGTGGCTCAGGAGGCGTCCGAAGTGCCCGAAGAAGTGAAAGAGCCGACGACCACAACGACGACGAAGGAGGAGACGCCAACCAAACCCATTGTGATCGCGAAGACTCCTAACGAACCGGAAACTGATAAAAAGGTGAAGAAGAAGGTGTGGGTGGAGAGAGAGCGCTGGGGTCACGACCTCTTCAAAGAGGACGAACAGACGCCCAAATCGAAGGACGAGTTGGTCAACACCTATGGCTACGATATACGCACTGAAGACAACGCCCCCAAAGCCAGGCGTTTGCGTCGCTACGGGAGGGGACCCAACAAATACACGCGTCAGTGGCAGGACGAGAACGCCTACAGTCGAGGCTCCGGGAGGACGTCCCCACCCGTCTCGGAACGCAATGAGCGACCCCTCAGGAGTGAGCGAAACGATAGGAATGAGAGACCAGAGCGAGAGCGCGAACACCCGATCCGTACGAATAGCATGACTGAGCGCAGGGAACGCCCGGAACGTAATGAGCGGAAGGGTAGCGATCGCCTCATCGACCGGTCGCCTAATGAGAAGACCTTCCGTTCGAACAGAGATAGAGTCGAAAGATCTGACCGTAAAGATAGAGTCGAACGAAACGATCGAAGAGAGCGAAGACCCGAACCAAGAGATCGTTTGGGCGATAGAGCGCACCAAAGGAGTAACGAAATGCTTCACAATAAGGGAATGTCTGCCAGAAATGAGCGGCCATTGAATGATAACAACAAGCGATTTGATTACGAAGAGAATGTGGNAGACCCGAACCGAGAGATCGTTTGGGCGATAGAGCGCACCAAAGGAGTAACGAAATGCTTCACAATAAGGGAATGTCTGCCAGAAATGAGCGGCCATTGAATGATAACAACAAGCGATTTGATTACGAAGAGAATGTGGAGAAGCGGTCGCAGGCCTTCTCGAAAGACGACTTCCCGGAGCTGCCGAACAATGATTTGCGGAAAAAACTTAATTCTAATCAACAGAGCGCTCAACAGCAGGAGGTGTGGAAAGCGAGCCCACGATTTGGGGGCCATTCAGCGGACATGGATGAGCACAACACCAGTAATAAAGAGTACAAAACAGAACCGATGAAAATCATTGAAGCGATTGAACACAACAGCCGACAAACCGCATACAACGACCCGAACGTCGTGCGGACGCTTACTCGGACATGGATGAGCACAACACCAGTAATAAAGAGTACAAAACAGAACCGATGAAAATCATTGAAGCGATTGAACACAACAGCCGACAAACCGCATACAACGACCCGAACGTCGTGCGGACGCTTACGTTTGAAAACTCGAAGTTCTCGCAAAGAAATTCTTCGGCCGGTTATGAGTACGACGATGAGAGAGGAGGCGCCGGCGGTCGGGCCAGAGGTCGCAAGTCTGCCGACATGGAGGGCTCCGGTCGACCCATTCGTAAATCGAATAGTAGCTTAAATTATGGCACTTATAGTCAGCAGAAAGAGGCGACCGATAACTACAGGAGCCATCGGAACAGCGGGCGGACGGACCGTAGCTATCACTCGGAAGAGCCGCTCAACCGAAACGCCGAGCGTTACTACGAAGAGGACAGTTATGGCACTCTTCGGGATAGAGAACCCAATTATATCTCATCGACGAGTCCGATGCAGAAGATGTCGATTGAAGAGAAGAATGCGGTTCTGAACCGAAACAACGAAAGCGAACAAACGAGACCTAAGAGGTATTCATCGCTTCGACAGCAACAACAACAGCAACGAGTGATTCCCGACAATATGTCGAGCATTGCATCCATCGGACATGGATGAGCACAACACCAGTAATAAAGAGTACAAAACAGAACCGATGAAAATCATTGAAGCGATTGAACACAACAGCCGACAAACCGCATACAACGACCCGAACGTCGTGCGGACGCTTACATTTGAAAACTCGAAGTTTTCGCAAAGAAATTCTTCGGCCGGTTATGAGTACGACGACGAAAGAGGAGGCGGTGCCGGTCGGGCCAGAGGTCGCAAGTCTGCCGACATGGAGGGCTCTGGTCGACCCATTCGTAAATCGAATAGTAGCTTAAATTATGGGACTTATAGTCAGCAGAAAGAGGCGACCGATAACTACAGGAGCCATCGGAACAGCGCTCGGACGGACCGTAGCTATCACTCGGAAGAGCCGCTCAACCGAAACGCCGAGCGTTACTACGAAGAGGACAGTTATGGCACTCTTCGGGATAGAGAACCGAATTATATCTCTGAGACGAGTCCGATGCAGAAGATGTCGATTGAGGAGAAGAATGCGGTTCTGAACCGAAACAACGAAAGCGAACAAACGAGACCTAAGAGGTATTCATCGCTTCGACAGCAACAACAACAGCAACGAGTGATTCCCGACAATATGTCGAGCATTGCATCCAATACTCAAATCGCGCCGACGAGTGATAACCGCAATATAAACCATCAGTTCTACGACTCGCATACCGGTACCATTCAGACGACCCCCTATTACACGGAACAGTCCGTACCACAGCCCCCGCGAAACCCATATCACCCGTATATGTCGCCCAACGCCCCAGAGTCCCCGCAAACGCACGCAACCACTTATATACCACAACCACTACCGCAACAAATGCCACAACAGATTCCGCAACAGATTCCGCAACAGATTCCGCAACAGATACCACAACCCATACCCCAGCAAATGCCCCAAAGATATATACCACAGGCAGCGCCTCAACCTTCACCTGACAACTCCAGATATATACCAACAGCAGTGCCCACCTCAGCACCGGTACCCACACACCAAATACCGCAACCCCTGCCTCAAGCAGGACCCCCTCCGCCAACCAATGTAATTACGGCGCCCCCTCCCGGAGCATATATTCCCAGTTTCCCATCTGGATATCCACAGTTCCCACCGGCGCCCCCGCCCACACACGTTCCCCCTGGCTATCCCGGACACGTACCCCCGCAACAGCCACCCACACAGCAGTTACCCCCAGAGCTATTCAGGGGTCCGCAGGGGGCGGTCTATTACGACCCGCAGAGTCAACAACAGAGCCGACAAATATCACAACAAAGACGTCCAAAGGCTGCCATACCTATAGTGCCGCCGCCCGACCAGACCGACGGCGATGGCGACAAGTCTTACGTATCTGTAAATAGTTAGTTAGGGAGTGCTCTCCACTTAAAAGCAATTCTAGACAATAATTTTCATTTGTTTTTATTTTATATATCATTTCATCTTTGATTTGTTCAAATGTATTCGACAAGTCTTACGTATCTGTAAATAGTTAGGGAGTGCTCTCCACTTAATAGCAATTCTAGACAATAATTTTCATTTGTTTTTATTTTATATATCATTTCATCTTTGATTTGTTCAAATGTATTGCAGTTTTCATACAACATATTTAATACCATTATTATTATTATAACTATTATTATATTATATATTAATTTCAAGATTCTTTGCACACAAATGCAATCAAACGGTTGACTATTTCGCTGATGAATATAAGAGAATATTACTAATTATGCGATTAAATGCATACGTCTTCAGGTGCTTAACGTATTCACTGAAACGTGTTTAATATATTCACACCTTTTCTATTGTCTGATCTAAAAATGATACGTTTTTGCAATTTATAGTCTAAATATTTTATTATTTGTCTTAAACAATAAAAGCAGATATTTGTTTTCTAGTGTTTTTTCACAATTACTGTAACTGTAAGTGAATTTATGTATTGATAAAAAGTTTCGTATACAAAATATATATTGACTTGTTTGCGCTAATCGTGTCCTTAATTGCACACACATTTGCTTGAATAAAGCGCCCGGAGCTTACCAATGGACTGATCACCGATAGTTTTCTCAAGACAGTAATCTGTCCCAGAACACTGGAAATCTGTCCCTGGACATTTTATTGTCAGGTGTCGACTATTATTCAAATTGTTTATTGATACAGTACTGTATGGTTTCTATTTCCAAACGGATTATCATTTATTTATCAAAATCATGTCCACAATTGTCGGACACGAGGACGAGTGTCCCAATTATGGTGTCCGAGGGATGTGTCACGTATTGGAAGAAAGCCTTACTTTTTTAAATTAGTATTTCTATTGTTTTAGTTATCATTTGTAATCATTATTGTGATTCAGTTTCTCCTAAACTCAACCTATATTTGATGTTATCTTAAAGTTTGCGATCAGAGTTTGCGACTCAATTACTAATTGTGGATCAACTACCTGAGCGATGTGGGTGCCGGTGGCTAATCTCCAGTGCCACTCCATATTTTTCAACAAATGTTTCGATAATTACTTTAAGCAAAGACTGATAATTTTTTAAATTTAATTCTATATTCAAATAATAATAAGAATTTTTAAAAATTTATAAAAACTTTTGGTAAAACTATTGCTAAAACTTTTATCAAATACACGAAAATGCAGTAAATATGCGAAAATAATCATTTGATTCTCAATTATTGCTTCACTGCTTATCACTAATGTTATGCAGAAAAGTATTATTTGAAAACATTTATAGGATTCGTTGAGTAAAAGTATTTTTCTTATTTCCCATAAATATTATTTGATTAAAGAATTAAATATTATAAATATATAGCATTTTATAGTTATTTTTAATATTATTTTAGGCAAAAATGATGATCATTGTGGCCGGACTCTTTTTTGTTAGCTGGCTACTGCTTCAAACCTACCCCGGTCTTAATTATATATACCCAGAAATTAGAAAGTAAATAATTGCATACAAATAAATATACAAAATCTATAAGAAAAAGATAATTTTTGTTTTTTTAAAAAATATCTATCCATATATCAAATTGAGTTGGATCCTTTTACATTTTATGGCTAAACGTTTGTTTTAATCCTTTTATTTATGCATTTTATAATGTAAGTACTGTATACCTCCATTCTTATTAACATTAAAAAATAATTTTAAAAATTTCTTATTTTAGGAGAGATTTAATTTAGAGTTAAGACAACTGTTTGGTTGGGGGTCGGCGTCACGGGAATGACATCGAGATCGATAATATATAGTGTTTTAGTTCGCAGACAATGTTTCGAGTCTTAAGGCTTTAAAATCGGATTTTATATAAATTCTTTCAATTCATTTAATGTATATTAGTCTTAAGGCATTGGAAAAGCGTATGAATTGGTTATAACATTACAATCAAAGTGTTTGTAAATATAATAACTTGTTTTGTAAAAGTATTGACAACTCATTAAGTGACTGAACATAGCTTTTGGACACTTTGTCTTTAATTGATTCGGCAATCGATTCGTTTTTCTAATTCATAAGCAAAATATAAAATTAATTAAAATATTTACTTATTCTTGAAATCTAATAAACAAACCNGTTTTTCTAATTCATAAGCAAAATATAAAATTAATTAAAATATTTACTTATTCTTGAAATCTAATAAACAAACCATTGATTGATTGGAAGCAAAGGGTTCGTCAAAAACGGACGATATGTTGAGGGCTTGAGAATTGTGTCATACGTTGAGCCGACTCTTCAAACTTAACAATCAGTGACGAGTATATCAAACTGAATACACATTAACTCTATTGACGTGTAGTTTATTTCATTTAATCACAACTCAATTGTTTTAATGACTTAACAATTGGCCAAACATTGATTGCATTTGAATGTCATTTGAGACTAATTTGTATTAGTCTTCCAGTGCTGTACAGTTTGTTACCATTCCAGTGATAATAACCACGAGATATCTGTAAAATATGGATCAGTTCACACTTCTCATGCTATTGTCGTTTTCCATGCTTTTCGGCAGTTATTTCTCGGGAACCATTCCTCTGGTGTTCACATTCTCTGAGGTATGTCTTCTAAACGCCATTCAATATTCCTCCGCATATACCATCGGTATACCATCAGCTAATATATCCATCTGTCATCAGACCATTAGACCATTAGGTCTACTGATGGACATTCAATACCTGCTACTTATGATAGTCTTAAGCATAGTCTCTAATCCATGGTTTGTTTGTTTTGACATTTATAGGACAAACTGCGACTCTTAAGCGTTTTAGGGTCCGGGATATTGGTTGGAACCGCTCTCAGCGTTATATTACCAGAAGGTGTGAACACGTTATACACCTCATCCCATGGTTTGTCCCTCACTTTGCCATCACTTGTGTTGCGATCATTACTTTGAATGTATTTCTCATGAATTGAAACAGAATTTCATTCACATCTGAAGACAATTTCAACGCAAAAGACCACAAACGAGACGACGAAGAGTGAAGACAATCCTCATTCAGTCATTGGTCTGACTCTAGTCATCGGATTCGTCTTAATGTTATTAATCGATCAGTTCTCCATCTGAAGACAATTTCAACGCAAAAGACTACAAACGAGACGACGAAGAGTGAAGACAATCCTCATTCAGTCATTGGTCTGACTCTAGTCATCGGATTCGTCTTAATGTTATTAATCGATCAGTTCTCCAATCGACATACCGGTGCCAACTCATACTCAGTCGCTCTCCAAAGTGGTCAGTCATTGAATGCCACCAACTCTTCATTCATTGTCTTATAAATGAATTTCCTTACGAAACGCCTTCAGATTCCGCAGAGAATGGCGAAAGTCTGTCCACTTGTGTGCCGAAGCGGTCGTCCAAAATGACGGCAACCATTGGTCTAGTGGTTCATTCGGCCGGTCAGTCACTCCCAGCCCTCAAAACCCTTACTTTTTTTAACCCAAAAACTTATGACAATAGCGGACGGCATAGCATTGGGTGCGGCGGCCACGACATCGCATACCGACGTTGAGATGATAGTGTTTTTGGCGATTATGTTGCATAAGGCGCCGGCAGCCTTTGGTTTAGTAACGTTCCTAATGCATGAGGGGGTCGAGAGGTCACGTCTTCGCAAGCATTTGTTAGCCTTCGCATTGAGTGCACCCATCGCTGCGTTCATCACATTCTTCGGCATAAGTCAGGGCACCAAAGAAGCCCTTTCCGACTACAACGCAACCGGTCTGACCACTCAGTATATGCCTTTCCTTTCGTGCATCGATTGATTGTATAACTCGTTGTTTACTTAGGAATCGCAATGTTGTTCAGCGCCGGTACTTTCCTATACGTGGCCACTGTTCATGTCTTACCAGAGATCACACAACACCAACACTTGAACCTCAAGGAACTGTTGGCATTAGTGGGCGGAACGTTCATACCGTCGCTGCTGACTGTGAAACACCACCACTGATAGCACTCATAGTA